AGAACCCTTAATAAAAAGGGGGTTTTTTAGTTGTTCAAGGATTTATAAAACAAAAAAAAAAAGCTAAAAAGACCCTTGAAAAATTTTCCCTTTGGGTTGTTTCTCGGGAAAGTACCCAAAAAACAATTTGTCCCAAAAAAATGAAATATGTCATTTTCTTGTAGTTAGCCTGATGGAAAATTTACAATTAAAAGCCCTTAAAACCCTCGTTTTCCCCCCCCCTTTTAAATTTTCGGTACCCTAAAAAAATTTTGTAAATTTCTAATAAACTTTGAACATCCCTTAAAAACCAAAAACTGCCGTTATTTCCGTTTTTTCAAGGGGTTTTTCCCAGAATTCGGCCCTGTTTAAACCGGGAAATCTCCCCCACAGCCGGGGGTCTCTGAAGGATAAAGAAAATCATTTTTTTCCCGTGGATTAGACCCCCTGTCAGTTTTTTTTTTTGGGATTTTTTTTGGTTTTTTTGGCCCCTTTTTGGGGGTTCCCCTTTTCTATTTCTCCTCACAAACCATTATAAAATGGAATGTAAAAATTTAAAAGGGGAAAATCACAAATTTGGGGATTGCCCCTAGAAAGGTAAAAGAGGGGAAACTTCCAAAATGGGGATACTAGTTAAAAATTTTGGGGCGGGGTTTTTCCTTTTTTGGGTTTTTTATGGAAGGGAAGGGAAAATTTCCCCGCAATGGGGGCAGGTTTGGGGGAAAAAAAATTTGATGGGGGTTAAAAACTCTTCTTTACCCCAAACCCAAAAAAGAAAAAGGGTTTTCCCTTAAGTTCTACTTTAACCCCCCCGCTGGGAACATAGAATTACAGTATACCCCTAATTTTAAAGGGAAACCATCAGCAAAAAATTAAAAGAAAAAAAAAATGTCACACTGTTTCATCTGTGAAATTTATAGTAAATTTTTTTTTTTTGTAAAACAAAATGGGTGTGTGTGGTTATACTACAGACATTTCTGGATTTCCCTATTAACACTGTGACAAAATCTAAAGGGGGTCTGAATGCTAATCTCAAAGAAATGAATTTTGTCCCTGCTGAAAAAGGGGGGATGGGGGCCCCGGGATTTTTTATTTATGAAGGGATTTTTTTTTGGAAAAAAAAAACTCCAAATTGACCAAATTGTGGGGGCCCAAAAAGTGACCCACATGCCCCAAATGTGGCGGCAAGCTAACCCAAACACCAATCAAGCCCACATTCCCCCAAATCCATACTAAACATTGCTAGACAAACCCTGGTTTTTTATGAAGGGGCCCTCCTCCTAAGCAGAGCCCTTTTTTCTACCCCTGGATTTCTTCAATGGGTCCCCCTTTTTTCCACTATCTCCCCGAAATGTAATGAAATTTCATACTCTGCAAATTTTCCACATTTACACATAGCTCAAACTGGAATTTTATACTGTATATTTTAGAACCCCTTTACCTATGCTGGGCTATACATTTAAATTCCCCCTCTGCATGGAGAAAATTATACTCGTATAGACCTCTTTTGGTCTGCATAGAAAAATCCCCGATACCTGGCCCCCAAAAAAAGGAAAACCCTTACATGGGCCGCCTATTCCCCGCTTTTCTCCCAATGACGGTTGGGCCTTTCTTTAAACCAAAAAGCGTGGCCCAAAAATGCTTGAACAAAAGTTACTCCAAGACGCTTAAACCCAAAGAATTAATTTTAAAAAAATTAGGTCAAACTTCCTACAAAAATCCATTTAAAAAAAAACCCTGAAACCCCATATTACTGTGGGAAGGGTCCCCAAGCCTTATATCCCTGGCATTCTGATTTAAAAAAAAAGGGTCCAAAAGGGTTTAAAAAAGTGAGGGGAAATAAAACCTTTGGGCCCAAAAAACTCACCAAAAATTAGTAAATTGAGATCAACCCTAAAACCCCTCCCCCTTTTTCCCAAACCACAGAGAAAGAACTGACAAGCCTTAGACACCAAGTCAATCTTTCCCTTTTATTTTCACAAGGTCAAAGAGCCCTACCTTATGTTTCAAACTGTTTTTTTATAAACAGGGAGTTTAAAAAACAGCCACCTCCTAGCCAGAGCAAAATTTAAAGGACAAACAACTTGTATCTTATGTTTCCCCTCTACACCGCCCCCACAAAAAAAACAGGGGACACCCTTGCAAAATAGCGTGAATGGGCCCTTTTAAACTTTTACTCCCCCTATACAACCTTTTTGATGTAAAACCCAGAACACGTAAAATCTCTCATAAAAGGATGACAATTTTCGTATGCCTTTTTCTAAACATGCCCAAATTAAAAAACCCCCTTTTACAAGACAAGACCTAGAAAACTCCTACCCCCAAGGAAAAACTTTTAAAAGGCTTTTCAAAACCACCAAAACCTGGCAATCCCTGGGTCAGATGGCCTGACCCTATCAAACTACAAGATAAATTTAAAGCCCAAGCCCTTCAAATTTTTTAAAATCCCCAAAACCTTTAATTTTTTAAAAAAACTGATTTTATCTATATTTCTCTCCCGGGGCAAAATTTAAAAGTTATCCCCCCTGAAAAAAAGCATTAGTTTAAAATTTGGGGGTTTAGGAAGATATCTTACATGGGTTGGGAAAACCCCCTTTGTTAAAGGGATCATTTGTGATCTCATGTTCCCCTCTGCTCAATCAAAAATTAAAGGCGTTTCTTAGATCCCCCTTTCCCAATTAAAAATGGCAAACCCGCCAAGGGGTGTCCCTTTTCCCCCCTTCCTCCTATGTACAATCCAAAAAACTTTTTTAAACCCCTTTTTTTTAAACCTACCAATCCCTATTTTCTCCCTTTTCAACTTTTTTTCAAGAATTTTGGGCACCCTATGAGAACTGGCCCCCATAAAAATTAACTTTCCAAAAAATAGGGCGTCAATAGGGAAAAGGGAAAAGTCCCTTTAAAAGAGAAAATTTTTCCTCCAATGGGATACTTCGCTTTCAAGTACTTTTAACAATTATATCCCAGGGCCCAAAACCGCAAAATATTATTTTTTTTCCTTGAATCTCCCCCCTTTAATTTGGGAAAACCCAAATTGTGCCAAAAATTGGGAAATCTGGAATTTTTGTTCTCCCGGTTTAGATGGTGTTATCTTCTTAAAAAAATATTTGCCCAAAAAGCTTCTATAACTTCTGAAAAGGGCCCCTTTCCCCTTCTCATCCCATGTCGCATTTTTTTGAAAAAAGGAAATCAAATATTTCTCAAAAAAAGTTCTTCCCAAAAATTCAACACAAAAAAAAGTTTTTTGGGCCCCCGGGGGGCTCCTAATTTAAATAATGATAAAATTGCAAATTGTATGTCAAAAAAATTTAACACAAAAAAAATAAAATATAATTATAAAATAAGTGTTTTTGATTTTAAGTTGAAATTGATATGTTTTTGATTTTTTATTATATGTCTTTCAGTAAGATGCGATAGTGCCGTCATCTTAGAATCACCCCCACACTTCACTCATTTGGGCATCAGGGGCCAAAACCGAGTGTGGAGCCACAGTGTGGCGGGGAGGCAGCAGCAATAGGAGGGCCTACAGCACCCCCATGACAAAATGGAACCCACCGCAGTGTGAGGGACCCGAAAGTGGCACATGGCAGGTGTGGCGTGGGACAGCAGCAATGGGAGGCCGTACAGGGACCCCTGACTCACCCGGACCTGGCCCGCAGCATGAGGGGGCGGGTTTAGGGGCCCATGAAAGATTCGGGCCTGGCAGCAGCAGTGGGGAAACCGTCAGCAGCGTGAGCAGACGACAGGGCACAGGGGCAGGGTGGCGGTGGAGGCAGCATATTTGGAAGCCAACACAGGCCTAGGTTAAAAGCGGAAACCGCAGCAAGCGTGAGCAGACACAGGACACTGGCGGGGTGGCGGGGATGCAGAGTATTCGGAAGCCAAACACAGGCCTCGGGTTAAAAAGCGGGGGCCGTCAGCAGGGGAGCGACGACAAGGACATGGGGGCAGGGTGGCGGTGGAGGCAGCCCAAAGGAAGGGAAAGGCCATAAAAGCACCCATCACAAAATGGAACCCCCCAACAGTGTAAGGAGACCCGAAAGTGGCACATGGCGCAGGGGGGGGTGGGGGCGCAGTATTCGGAAAAATTTCACAGGAAGTTTTTTTAAAAACGGAAGCCGTCCCACGTGAGCAGACGAAGGGCACAGGCGCGGGGGTGGGGGGGAGGCGCAGTATTCGGAAGCCCTACACAGGGGCCCAGGTTTTAAAAAGCGGAAGCCGTCAGAGGTGAGCAGACGACAGGAAAGGCGCAGGGTGGCGGTGGGGGTGCAGCGTTTCGGAAGCCAAACACAGGCCTCGGTAAAAACGGAAGCCGTCAGAGGGGAGCAACGACAGAGGCATGGGCAGGTGGGGGGCGGTGGGGCAGCAGCAAGGAAAGGGCCAAAAGCCCCTATCACAAAAAGGAACCCCCCCAAAAAGTGTAAGGGACCCGAAAAGTGGCACATGGGCGGGGGGCGGTGGAGGCAGCAGTATTTGGAAGACATACACAGGACTAGTTTAAAAAGCGGGGGAAACCGTCAGCAGCGTGAGCAGACGACAGAGGCACATGGCGCAGGGGGGGGGCGGTAGAGGCAGCGTATTTGGGAAACCATACACAGGCCTAGGTTAAAAAGCGGGAAACCTTTAGGCGGGGACAGAGACGAGACACATGGGCGGGGGTGGCGGGGGGCGCATATTCGGAAGCCAACAAGGCCCCGGTTAAAAAAACGGAAGCCGTCGCGCGTGAGCAATGACGAGGCACATGGGGCGGGGTGGCGGTGGAGGCAGCAGCAATGGAAGGCCTACAGCACCCCATCACAAAATGGAACCCCCCCAACGTGTAAGGAACCCGAAAGTGGACATGGCAGAGTCTGGCGATGAAGCAGCAGCGAGGGGAGGCCGTACAAGGACCCATGACACACTTGAACCCGGGGCAGCAAGAGGAGGGGGGTACAGGGGCCCCTGGGCGAGTGGGAAGCGTTTAAACACTTAAATTTTTAAGGCCTAAGAGGCCTATGTTAAAAATAATAACATGTTTGGGGATGATTATGGCGGGTTTGTCAGTTGTGTCGGGAAATGGTGGTTTTGAAATCCAGCTAAACCACGCCGATTCTTTTTACAAACGGGTCTCTCCCCACTTTGGGTGGACTCGGTCCTCCGCGGGGGTTACAATACTCCTGCGCACTAAACCGCGCTCCGATGCCCGCTTCTGGCCCGGGAAAGACAGCCCTTTCAAAGGGGAAAAATTCATTTTTGGGGGGCCCAAAAGGGCAATTTTTTGTTGCCCCTAGTCAAAAGGGGTTGTTACCTCGGGGGAGGGGGGCTGTCCCGTAGGCCCCCCAGCCCGTGTTTGAGGTCCTGCTCCAGGGGCCACCTGTGCTGCTGCTGCTGCGGTGGTTAGTAGTTTCTCAC